TATCTGTCTGTTGGTTTACTTAGTAGGCATGGTTGTTGCCTGAGAAGTATAGTTTTTTCGGATGAAATAAAAATGACCGATTCATCGAAAATAACAAATAATAATAATTTCCAAAAATTATAAAATGTGTTCATCACCATGTTGCTTTTGCACTTATATTGCTCTTTGTATACGTAGAAGGGAGGTGTGTATTGCTTTCTAATTTGGTACTTAGCAAGCCTTGATCAAGCAAGAGCAGTTTTTAGCTCTTTTTCCTCGATTTTGCGGAGGGTCATTGAAGTCAAGGGATGTCGGAAGTTTTATCCGTGCCTTTGAAAACACTTCCTCAAGTTAGCAATCCTATCATATGGGTAAAAATTTTATTTGTACGAGAGAGGAACTAGCATTATCTCCTATGCCTACCCCACTAAGACTCAACCTGTATCTCTTCTAAAACCCAATTTTTTCTAAGGATATGACACCTCACCCTTGGCTTTTACCCCACACTTTATTTTCGTTGGCATCGTCTTTTGATTTAGACTTGACATGGTAGGATTTCGAATGTATGAAGCTATATATCGACCCCACTTTGCTTTAAGATCAAAAGACTGGTTCATATGAGGGGGAGTTCGAGAACTCGAAAAGGATGGTAGGAAGCACCAATTCATACGTTTTTCTTAAGATGGATCCAAGTCTAATACCAAGGACATGTAGTACTAGATGGCACTTTTCTTGTTATTAATGAAGGTGTTAAGGGAGGTAGAATGATTTGTAATCAGTTTTCATGGGGGTGGGTTGGATATGAGAATAGAAGGAAGACTCTGGTATCCTAAGATAAGGTGGCACTACCCAAGACAGCGGGTGGATTTGGGGATCAAGGACTTCAATATTTGGAACAAAGCATGTATGATTCGAGTTCTATGGGAACTATTGGCAGAGGTAGGTTCTTTATGGGTGGCGTGGAAAAAAATTATCAAATTAAGCATCACACCATATGAGACTTGTTTGCAATGTCTACAGGCTCTTGGATCTGGAATTGCATACTCAAATGTCGAGGAGTTGCTCACATCATCTGTCTGGTAGTGGATCCTCCTGGGATGACAATGATCTTTATCCGTTTCTCTATTACACTTGTTTAGAAGTCTATTTGAGTTGCCCAACCTAGTGTTGACTAGTGTGCTACTATTTGGGGAAACCTCAAATCCACAAGCATTGCTTTTTTGTATGACTAATTGTAATGGATAGAGTTACTACAAAAGATAAGATTGCTAGTTAGGGGATATATATATATATGGCGTGTCCTCTTTGTCCAGGTGGGGAAGAATCACGTGATCATTTGTTTGTTACTTGTTATTTTAGAAGATTTGGGATTGAAGTTGTGAGGAAGGTTTGTCCGGTACGAGCAACAGTGATTGGCTCTGAACACCTTTAGTGGGCTATTCACGCTTGGAAAGGCAGCTCAGATAAGACTAAGATTGACAGATTGCTTTGATTATTAACACTGAGTCATTTATGGTGGGACCGATGCAAGGTAATATAATTTATGGTAGCTGATCAATATGCACCCCATACCAGATTGTGAAGAAGGTATTTGATGAAGTTAACCTTGATGTGATTCCCGGCCACCAAAGTAGAGGAGAAAACCCAGCCGGAATCATAAATTTCCCGACCGGTTAAATGGAAGGAGAGACCGGGGATTCGGCCCGACCGGGTATTTAGATCGGGTTTCGGGTTCTGCCGAGTTTTTGTTACCTTTTTTGTTTAGAATTCTTTTAATTTTTAGTGTTTTCATTAGGTTTATTTTTCATACCTATTTAAAGGGTTGTAAGCCACAAATTTTGACAGAGGATTAAGACTTTGATGAATAGAAAACCCTTTTTGTTCTTGAGTGGTTACTCCTGAATGTGAGTTTGGTGGATTTCAAGCTCGAGTTTAGCTCTGTATCGATCAAAACCACACTGATCGTGGGCTGGCATCTACCATGATATTGTTCTAGCCTCTTCCCGTGTGTTGAAGTTGCACGACAATCCTTTTCCATCCTATCCTTTTTCTGTTTAACCGATATGAACCGACACAAATGATTATACCGCCGCCAATCAAACATTCCACTTATAAAATAGGCGTAACAGTATCAACCGGTTTCACTTTGATTATAAGTATCGTATTTAGGGAAAATTTCCCGGCACTCCTATCGTCCAAAGTCCAAACCATAACGTGGGTTCCACCCTCAACAATTACGCATGCTCCGTTCCGCCTTTTTCCCTTTCTCTTCTCCCGACCAGGCCTCTCAAAGAGCGCCCATAGCTTCGGGTCCAAACCATAACCTACCTCCGGATTGCCCTGGCCCCGACCCTCCTCGTTTCTCCTCTGTTCGTTGAAATTTCGCACACTACTTCGATCGCTTTATCTCTCTCTCTCTCTCTCTCTCGCTCGCGGTCTTTCGCTCAGCTCTGAGGCGCCTCATTTCCTGATACTTCCGCGTTGCCATTTGTTTAAACCCTAAAATTTGCGTGAATTCTTCTTCCTGAGGATCGGTTTCCAGCATCAAATTGGTCGCCTATACGGGAAACTGTGAGTTCAACAAAGCTTTTTCTCCTTCTCCTTTAGGTTCCCATTGAGCTGAAACCCTAACCTTCTGGTCGTAGATGCTAATTATGTTAGCCGAGCCTAACTAAATCGAACCGGGTTTTCGACGGGCAGCTTTTTAGCAGCTTGTTCTGGTATTTTCGGCCTTTGTGCCTCTCGTGGGAGGCTGGTTTCGGGTGGGAATTTGAGAATTCGTTTTTCGATCCTTTTTGGTTAAGTGGTAATGAATGCTGGATTGTTGGATTTGGATATGCCTTTCCTCAGTAGATTTTGAGGAATAGGAAACTTAAGGAAACGTGAATTTAGCCTTTCGTTGCTTTGCTTCTCTTTGTTCCACTGGGATGGTTGTAGTTTTTCAGAAGTAAGTTCTCGCTGCTTTGTTCTTGGTTGAGACAGAAAGTGGCCTTCATTTGCTGGATTTCCCTCCCACAGACCTGCATTTTCTCGACAACTAGGAGGAGCACAATATTTCCTGGTTGATGCATAGTGTTGTGTTTGATCCCCCGGGTGGGTTGGGTGTGTTGGATGTTATGAGTAGTAGCTTATATTTCATTGTCTGGTTATTGCGCCAGAGAGGTGCATCAAGTCAATTGTGCCTTAATGATCCTCAAATCTGATGTCATCTGACTTCCGTACATTGTTTTTGTCTACTTGATCTTGCATATACATGAGTTTTGATAGTTTAGAGCTTTGGGGAAAAACTTCAATTGTCTTAATACTGCGTGAAAGAAATCTTTGGGTGCTCTCAATTATGACGAAAGACAATGTCAGTGACAATCATAGTTACTATTTTGGTAAGTGAGAATTTTTGGCGGGCCTGGAAAGCCTACCAATGGATGTCTGATACACTTACATTTGCTTCATTACTTAAAAGAATTGGTACACCTCTGTAGGAGTCATGATGCCTATTCTGATGCAGCTATTGTATCTTGCTTCATTCCATAGAGTATATTGAAAGTCACCTAGGTCTGGCAGTGACATATGACAAGAAAGAGGCTAGAGATTGGTCAACGTTATTGTTGTTCTGAAGCTTCAATGTTTATGAATATTCCCTCTCAGAATCTGTATTTGAATGGAGGCAGTTATGTGTATTACAGAGGATCAAGGAAGCTATCATGTCAACTTTTAGTATGCCTTGGAGATAAGGTTGACCTTTAGGTGTATTTCTCCCTGGCCAGTAGGTCATCAGAACTTCGACTAGTATAGTTGAATGAGGTGAATTACGAAATAGTTGAGTATGTTGGTCCCAATGTTCCAGTCATATGGACTATTAAAATTTTATTTACACTTTTGATGGATACTCTTTTTTAGAGCCTGGTATGTGAATGTAGAGAAACATTCTTGAATATTGGTGGACAAATGAGTTTGCTGTTTTATCTTAAGCTGGATAATTAAAGCTGAATTCTTCATTCTGTTATCTCTTGTTGATTTTCGACGTGCCTTTCTAATCACATCACTGATTTTTTGACATATTTAGTGCACATGGGGGAGTTTAGCATGTTGCACAGTGAACAAATTATTTGAATGCTTATTGTTCTCGGTGGTTTATTGAATCCCTGGATCATGATTTAATTCAGTATTTTTTAACTGTTATGTTTTCCTCTCGATCTTTTGTAAGCTTAATACCATATGTTAATTTTCACTTGAAATATAACACATGGTGTTAGACTATCATGTTACTTCCTGCCAAGATTGGTAAAAGAGAATTAACTTTCGCTGGAATCGTGTGTCCCTGGTCATTTGGTTTACGCTTCATTTAAGTCCTGTTGTCCTATTGAAGATTGAGCTTGTTACCCCTTTTTTTATTTGAACCTCCATTTTCTGATACTTGGTGATCATGTGTGTGTGTGTCAGTGGACGAGAGAAGCTCGTTTTGGTTATATTGTTAAATTCGCGATGTTGGTGGATATAAAGGCCCTATCTGTTAGTAAACAACTTATTTCTGGTTGCAGCGATGTTATTAACTTGTAATTCTAGGTTTGGATTCTCTTATCAAATGTTGTAAACCAGTCCGTTTATGATTCAATTATTATTGTCATCAGAACATTTTTATACTTATTTTTATGTCACTGCTGCACTATGTAGAGATTTTGGTAATTTTAGCCAGTGAATTGAACAGTTTTCTATTTAGGAGACTTATTTTCTTCTTGTCATGTGTTTGATAATTCGAAAGTAAATATTTGCTGAAGAAATTCATCATGTATTCTAACAGCTTAGGTTTCAGTGTCTTAAATCAGACCGAGGAGAAGCATTGGGGAGATTTTATTTGGATGACATTCACTTGACTGAATAGAGGTTCTATGCAGCCTACTTCTCATGTATATTCCTCTATGATGACACTGTTAAGAGTGTAATAACTTTTGAACTAATTTCAGGGGTTAAATAAGTTGTTCATTCAATACCTTAGCTACTGAGAACTAGCGAGGGAATTATCTATGCCTGGCAACGAAGTTGGAGATAGGATCCACAATTTCTTTGGCCAGGAGACTTCTTCTCAGGTCCCACAACACTCGCAAATTGCTGATGCAGCATGGCATGGGATGATTGGGAATCCATGGGCTGGAGGTCAGGGACAGATTGCCACACCCGTCATATCCGATTTAAAAAATCGCAGTTCACAGCAACCAGGTATCAACTCCTTGTCCTTTTGCATTTCTGTTACTTGTTGGCAAGGTCCTCTAACATCCTACCGAACTGTTTTCCATCTCACTTGTTGGACCACTCAAAGGAACTTTTCTATTTCCTTAACAAATTGGAACTCTAACAAACTTATGATTGGAGTATGGAAGGTAGTTTGATTGCAATCTCCTGATAAGTATTTCCGTTCCCAGTGGCTGATTATGAGAGAAGATATGGTGGCCAGTCATCACCTGTGCAGCGTGATTTGAGCTTTCAACAATCAATCGAAAGGGCAGAGCATGCCAGAAGTCAATCCCAAGATCAACAACCAACTAGAAATGGCTTCTTTCAAGGTCATCAGAGTTTCCAGACGAGGCAGAATGAGACGAACTTTATGGGAGTGGATACAGAGCCTGATCGGCATAATTTAACATCAAAAGGTTTTTCTGCGTTTGATTCCCATCAAGGAAATGGCCCTGACTTTCACAAACGAAATTTAGTTAGGATGGACTCTACTGAATCTCCAGTTAATTTTAATTTTTTGGGGGGTCAGCATCAGATGAGTTCCCAGCATCCTGGAACTGTGCAATCTCTTCCTAGACAACCTTTGGGGGTCGGGGATATGCAGCTGCTGCAGCAGCAATTGATACTCAAGCAAATGCAAGAATTTCAGAGACAACGACAGCTTCAGATGCAACAAATGCAGCAACAAGAATCAACAAGGCAACTTAATATTTCGAATAACGTGTCCTCTCTCGGAAAACATGAACTTTTTAGTCAGTCCCGATCAATGATCAATGGAATTCCTATACAGGATGCATCTGGCTATGCATTGCAGCCTGAGGTTATGGCGGCTAACATGAACTTGCAACAGCATAGTATGTCTCCGGACATGCGAGGCTCATCTAGCAGGCTTGGATTTTCATCGGAACAAAACCAAACTTTTCAGATGATGGGTATGGTTCCGCAGCAAGTTGATCAATCTCTTTATGGTATCCCCATCGCTGGAACAAGAGTTACTTCAAGTCATTTTTCACCCATCCAAGTGGATAAGGCCCCTGTCCAGCAGATGTCTAGCAATAGTAATTCCCTTATGGATAATCAGTATATGGTTTCATCAAATCAGGCAAATGTTCAAGAAGGAACTTTGGGGTCGAGACAAGGATATCAGGGGAGAAATGTGATCGAAAGAGTAGATAGTCAAGGCTTTGGCACTGGAATTAATTTAGAACGCCTCCAGCAAGTGAATTCCTGGCAGAGTAGCGTGCCAGCCCAGGAATTCCTTAGGACGCAGGATGGATCTGGTTTATCAGAATCATCACAGGAGAAGACCGTTGCTCACGCAGTGTCTTCTCAGAATGCCGCTGCGCTAGATCCAACTGAAGAGAGGATTTTGTATGGGTCAGATGATAATTTGTGGGATGCTTTTGGCAACAGTAATCATGTGGGTTCTGGAGGTTTGAATACGGAGAGTACAGATGCATCAAGTGGTGCTTTGTCATCTTTACAAAGTGGAACCTGGAGTGCTCTTATGCAATCCGCTGTAGCAGAAGCTTCTAGTGTGGATGTTAGTGCACAAGAGGAATGGAGTGGTCCAGATGGCCAGGGTACAGAACTTCAAAATGGAAATCGGCATATCCGGACTGTAAATGATACTGGCAAACAACAAACAGCTTGGGCAGGTAACAGCTTCCAAACTGGCTCAATCCTGAATAATCCCTTCCATCGACCAGATAATAATGCTACAAGTATAAACAGTAATGAAATGCAAAGAGTTCATTGTTCTGGGGTGAGCTCTCCACATGATGAAAGGGAACGGTCTCAGGTGGATTCTTTTTGGAAATTTTCTCAGCAGTTTGTAAAAGGTAATACCAAATGGCTTGATGGGAGTCATCAACTGAAAGCTGCTGCTGAAGTGAGCCGTAATCTTGAAAAGGCTGTTCATTCTCCTGATGCAGAATCAAGTGCAAAGAACTTATCCCATCCCTGTACCAATCAGTCAGGCTCCCACCTGCACAATCCAAGTGGCCAATCATTCATTAAACAAAATGGGTGGAACTTCATTGATCCAGCATCATCTAGTACAAGCTCAGCTTTGAAGAATCAAGGTAATCAAAATCTGTTGCTACCTCCCTCTACAAATGATCAGAAGTGCTCAATGGGAAAGAACAGTTGGAGAACTGACCCTGTTTCCAACTCAGCTGTCGGGATAGTCCATGCACAATCTAGTACTGGCAGCCCCCCAGCCAACATACCAGATTCTAGCCACAACAGTACTCCAGTTTTTAGCAGTATGATGCTCAACCAAGATAGCAGCCAAGATATACCTCCACAAGGTAACAATCTTGATGTCTGGAAACGTGTGGATCCAGTGATGAACTATAAGAGACGTGAGATTACTGGAAACCATTCCCTCAATATGGAGGAGGCACATGAAGCATTTGAGTCATCTGGACACAACAGTCTGGGCAATGGTGCTGTCACCGCTAGTGAATTAGATCATTTGGGTGTGATACAGAACACAATGAATAGCTTGACCACAACATTTCATAATGTCAACGCAAGGGAAACTAATTGGAAAGATACAAACAATTCAGGTATTCTTTTAGCTGGAAATCAGAAGTTGTCCAGCCATGCTGGTAAAAAGCCATCTGTTCGTAAATTTCAGTATCATCCTATGGGAGATGTAGATGTTGATTCTGACTCATCACATGCAACAACACCTGATGCTCGTTCAGAGTCGATCATGCAGCGGATTTCCGCTGGATCAAGAGATCAGGAAGAAGGGCACATTGGACAATCGGAATTGACTAATCTCTCTACATCACTTGACAGAGGGGTCAATAACTACACACCAAACAAGAAAATGATAGTGAGGTATGTGTATGTGTAGAAGTTTTGCTATCCATCATCATGTCAGTTTGATGGTTATTAGCGTGTTGGTCTGTTTCCTGATTTCTTACGCTTATATTTGTTGCTAATCATGAGTCTTATCTCAGCGCTCATTAAGTATAATGATAAACTTTGTCAAAGGAGTGCATGATCAGCAATTAATCATTTTCACTTAGGGATGGCAATTTCGACCTGACCCGATTTACCCGACCTGTTTGACCTGTTTTGGGGCAGGTCAAACCCGCCCCGTAGGCGGGGCGGGCATGGGTACCTCTCATCGACCCGACCTGCCCTGACCCGCCCCATTCTCGACCCGTTCTTGCCATTATTACATATAATATTAGTCAAATTACTTGGGATTTTCCTCTTATTACATTATATTTTAGCTATAATAAAGTTGTAAATAAGTGAAAACCTCAATTTCTTCAATAATTTAACTACATTTTTATCATATTATGGTTTCTTTCTTGGTCTTTTAATGAAAATAACGAATGCTTCTAATGTTTTTCGCATAAATTACATACCCAATGGGTCGACCTGCCCCGACCCGTGCCCCGTGATAAATTACCCGACCTGGACCCGACCTGCCATGGGGCGGGTATGGGTATCGAGATACCCGCCCCGGACCTGCCCCATTGCCATTCCTATTTTCACTAGCTTATCAGTAATGCTTAGCTTCCTTTTTGATTGCAAAACCTCTAGTTTTTAGCTTTTTATATCTTGCCTCAGTTTGCTGCTAATTATTGGTTAGCTTCTTCTATTTGCTTCAGTCAAAACATGCTGGAGCTGCTTCACAAGGTTGATCACTCGAGCGAAACTGCAAACTCAACGTACTTCAGCTCTTCTAGCCAAAATCCTTCTCCTGAAACTGAAACCCATGACAGGACCTTGCGTCCTGAGCAGAAGAGATCTTCTGTTTCTCAAGGTTTTGGTTTACAACTGGCTCCTTCATCTCAACGGTTGCTTGGTCCCTGTCTTGTAATTTCTTCTCAGGGTTCATCCCAGAGAATTAATTCACTAAATTGTGTCTCTTTTACTTCTGGTACAGGAGAGAAGAGTCGAGCTGTGATGGCTCCCATGTCCTTGGTTCAGTCATTCCCACCTGCACATGAAACATCACAAGGAGAAGTGAGGAACAAGGTTCCTAATATACTAGGACAAACCACTAGTATTGACCATGGAAGGATTCCAGCTGCCTTTCCCCCTGGTTTTCCCAATTCAAGGAGTAATGCACAAGACTTGCAGATGCGTGAGATTGGCAAGGAGGTAAGTGCCAATCAATCTGTAAATGAGTCATTTGTTAAATTTGTCTCACAGACAAAACAGTCAAATGAGCCTGTAGATGGAGCGGGATCTAGTCAATCAGGACTGGCTTTGGTGCCTGACACTTCCAGGGGCACAACATGTAATGACGTTGCTTCCTCTGTCGAGGTTACCCACCTCGACAACTTCCAAAATAATAGGGATTCTGGTCATCAGTTTCCTGTGCTGGAAGCTTCATCTACTTCTCAGTCCTATGCTGGATCTGGCTTACAACAGGATGGTGCTTCAAAAAATTCTGCAACACTGAGGACCACTACATCAAGCACACCCCTATCTTTTGGTACTCTGCCTTTCCCGCTTTCGTCAAATGCGTTCGAGTCCAATATTCAATTAAGCAGCACTGCAGAAACCACTTCTTGGCCTAAAAAGTTGGAATATCAGAATCCACAAGGAAGAGGTAGCAATCCATCTGCATCCGGTGCAACTTCTGTGAAACATGTATTTGCTGGGACAGAGCAGCTGGAAAGATATCTCAGTCAGAGTCAGCTGTCTCTACCGGTTAATGATTTTACCAAGAAGATGATGAGTCCCTTGCCAGGGAAAGACTCTATCATAAATCGTGTTAGTAACTTGTATGCTTCAAGTGCTGTGAGCACTCAAATGGATATTGCAGCTTTTGGACGCTCTTTGAGGCCCAATGCTTCGCTGAGTCAAAATTACTCATTGCTGCATCAAGTACAGGATGTGAAGAATAGGGAGGTAGATCCAACTGGTAGGAGTTTGAAGAGATTGAAAGGGTCGGATGGTAGTGTTGACCCTCAGTTGGCCACTTCTGAGTGTGGGCAGCAGCTACTTGGACACGCTAACGCAGTCAGAGGTGCATTACTAAACAGAGCTTCTAGTTCTCCCGATGATCCTAAAGCAGTTGGCCTTTCTGGGAGACAAACAGATGAGCATGGGCCAAATCTACCTACTCAGGACATGCATGAGTTTGGAGGGACCAGTTCTAGAAACTTTGCGGACAGCAACGACGGGGTTTCTGGTAGAGGTGAACATTCTCAGATCAGTCCCCAGATGGCTCCATCATGGTTTAATCAGTATGGCACCTTTAAGAATGGACATGTTTTATCAACTTATGATGCTAGAAAAGTTGCTGCCATGAAGCATGCAGAATTAGCTCTAAGTGGAAGCAGGTCTTCTATTAGGCTGCCTATTCCAGGTCCACTAGAGGCTGGAAGTACCATTAGCGATGATGCAAGTCAGCATGGTCTAGTTAGGAGAAGTTCTACTCCACTAGTTAGTGAGGAGTTTTCCTTTCCTCAATTGTTACGGCCCGACTCTGTTGACATGAGTTTGTTTGTGGTAAGACCAAAGAAGCGCAAGAGTGCCCCATGTGATCTTGTTCCATGGCACAAGGAATTGATAATGGTTCCACATAGGCTCCGGAATATAAGGTGGTCATGCTTTCCTTGTCTGTTACTTTTAGTTAACTTTTTTTTTCTCCAGAATTACTTTCTCTTGCTGGTTCTTGTTGCAATTTGTTATTCATATTGACTTCCCCTTCCTATACTCCATTTCTATTTTTATTTTGATGTGTAAAAAGTTTGTTGTTTGCAGTTTGGCAGAAGTGGAATGGGCAAAGGCAGTTAGCCGTGTCACTGACAAGGTTTGTTGAACAATGAAAACTTTACATAAGTATTCACTTATATTATTTCATATCTCATTTAGAATTTTTCAGCTGTCTTATCCTGTTCCGTGACTTTTAAAGTGTTGTTGATAATCCTGTAATTTCTGTTGACAGGTGGAAGATGATGTTGAAATCATAGATGATGGGCCGCCAGCCATTAAATCAAAGAAAAGATTGATATTGACGACACAGCTTATGCAGTTACTACTTCATCCTCCTCCATCTTGGGTAATGTCTGCTGATGCAATTTCTCAATATGAGATTGCTGCTCATTTTGTTGCTCGGTCGACTCTGGGAGATGTATGTGGTTCACTCTCTGTCTTTGCCAGTGATGCTTCCCCACCTTCCAACAGCAGCAACATGTAAGGATGACCATTGACTTAGCTTACAGATTTGGTGGTTGGATTGCATAAGAATTCTGTTACCTGAACAACATATTCCCTTCGTTAGCATCTGATGAGTTGCTTTTCTCTTCTTTAGACTGCCTGAGAGGCTGAGATATTCTAAAAGTAAAAGTGATCAATACTTCTCCAAAGTTATGGAAGATATCATCGAGAGAACAAGAAAAGTGGAAAGTGACTTGCTGAGGTAGTTTCTTGTTCGCCTCAGTCCTTTGGGTACTTGTACTGATTCTTGTCTTACATAGTGTGTGGTTATTTTGGTTGTTGGCTTTTGTGTCCCAGTGTGGCAAAGTGTGATTTTGAGTTTACCTTCTCTGCCCTTTTTCTTGATATGGCCCCTCTTTTTTGCCCCTATCGTTGGGATTAATTCTCTCAAAGCTAATGACCTTGGATGATGTTATTTAGTAGTTGTCTTGTTTTGTCTAGGTTGCTGGTTACGTTCTCTGGTTTTGTTGGCGTTGCAATGCAGGACAGATCGCCCATAAATCAATGCTCATCAGATTGTTATTTTATTAGGCATTTTTGTTTCAACAATTTTGGGCTGCTTTCTATGCTCATCCATGCATCTTAGGTCATACTAGTAGCATCCGTCCAGTTTTGTTTTCAGGTTCTCAGTTCTCCATTCCTGTGCTGGTGGAGTGGGAGTGGTACAATCTGAGCGGGAGTCTTTATGCCTGACATTTTGTTGTTCTCTTACTTCTGCTGACAGATTGGATAGGAGCATCTCGATCTTAGACTTGCGTGTAGAATGTGAAGATTTAGAGAAGTTCTCTGTCATCAATCGGTTCGCGAAGTTCCATGGTCCAGGTCAAACAGCAGGTGGACAACTAGACACTTCATCTGGCAGTACTTCTAATGCACAAAAGGCCTTTCTCCAAAGATATGTTACTGCTCTTCCCTTCCCTAGGAATATCCCTGACAGGGTACAATGTCTTTCACTTTGATAATTAATTAATAATTAATGTTCTTCTCTTGCCCATATGCCCGCATTCCAGGCTTTTTGGCCGTCTTTTCTTCTTCTTTCACTGCAACTTATACTAGCATTCTCTCGCATAGAATATAGTTGGGAATGTAGGAAGCAGATACTAGATCGTCTCCTCATAAGGGATGGAGGCTGTTAGATTTGTACTAATTAATATAGGCTGTTCATGTCACTATGATCTGTTTCTAGGGGAACTGCAGTTCCTCTTCATCTTGTGGCCGACTGTTGGGAGAACAGATGTGTAGTTTTGCACTTTTGCTTGTAGTGGTCCCTAAGCTAGAATTTCTCCTGAGATTTTCGGATGATTGCATCACCCAACCCCTCCCTGAAATATAAAAATTTTCAAAGGTTAAGGTCTTGTCAGGCTGCCAACCTTGTTGTTTTAGGGAGTAAGGGGCATTTGCAAAATCAGCTGTTTTAGTTTTTGGTAGTATTTTCGTACTGATGATGTTATTATGCTAGCTGAATACCTTTCCTGGAATGGAGGATAATAGAGATGGTGCCTACACTGAATCTAGTAGCCAAGTGGGAAGCGCTTGTAGCTTCCATAGAAAAGGGTTCCCCTATGAATCTGCAGAAGAAAATGCTTGATTTACTGGAGGAGTTAGTGTGCTCATTCTCCGGTCGTGTGCCTGAATCTTCTCTGTTTCATCATCACAAGATAAATAGTCCTGGTCTCCTGGAGGATTGTCGAGGTTTGCATAAGAAGCTTGCGTCCTCAATTTTAATCATTAAGATTTCTCAGTGTTCTCAACGATACAACTGTGCCCCAAGCCTCGAGGTATCTGGTGGTTATCCAGCATTTTCAATTCACGCCTCGACTTCATTTATGAACATATTTTCTCTTGCGTCTCCATTCGAATTATGTGTCTGTCATCACCATAGGGTTCACTTAAGTTGTGACCATGATATGAGATCCGTGTTGCCTTTTGCTGGTCGTCTTCGTCTACTATGAATCATAATGTCTGATCGCAGCTGTTGTGAACCTGAACAGCTAGGTCTATTATTAGGGGACTCATAATGGCATGGTCAGCCAATTGGTTCAAACATGGACTGCGATGCCATGCCAAATCTATATATAATCCGACGGAAGCCTTAAGTACTTAAGTGTAGTCTGGATAAAAAAAAAACCCCTTTAAGAATGGCGTTTACAAAGACTAATGAAATCCACCATATGGTAGATTTTGGAACAAAAAGTTTGTGACCCATATTGTCTGGTCTAGGACCATCTTCCATTGTGTGATAGAGAGTAAGATTCTAGCATTAAATGCTCGCCAACCAAAACTCAAATGAGCATAATAGCAAGAAATATCATCCCAAAATTCAAGTCTTGCTCAAAAAAAGGATAAGGAGTTAGACCAGCTTGCCCCCACCATCAGCCCATCAAGAAATGTGTTGGAGGAGGGAGAGGAGGCGGATTCGTGCGCAATAACCCACGTTGTCCTCGCGTTTGCTTCACATGCGCTAGGTGCGGGGCTGAAGGGTGCATGTGACAATAAAAAACAAGATTTTACTTTGAACCAAGGTTGTCAAACCGGGTTAAGTCATTCGGTCGGTTTGACAAGGGGTTTGGAGTTTAATGGTCGGATCGGGTTTCAACCGGGTTAAGCCGGTTTTGACAATATATGTTGGAGAGTCATTGACACCTAATAAAATAAGAGTTGAAACAACAACCCAACCTCACTTCCACTGCCGATGAATTCCACCTCCTTTTATCAAATGACCACACAATTTGCACTTGTTCCAAATCTTTCCATCTTTAGTGCGAATTTCCTCAGCATAGCCCCAAGCAAATTGAGATCAAATCAACGCAAATTCTCACGGAGGAAAGCTCAATTGGGCAAGGAAATGCATCAGAACCCGAACAAGACATCAAAAACCCTAGCGAATTGGGGAAAGTGAAACCAGCCAGCCACCTACCTAGTCTTGAGCTGAGAGAGCGAACCGGAGCTCTCGCCGCGGATCTCGACGCACAGCGCGAAGAAGGAAAGAAACGACAGAAACCCACCGGGGAGGAGAAGAGACGGAGGGAGAGAGAACATGATGCAGGCGATGAACAGCACCACCACGGCCCTCTCGCCGGTAAGCAGCGGCGGGGCAGAGACGGACGTCATGGAAGATCGCGGGAGACGCTGATCGGTCGTTACTTACATGGAATGGGAAATCTGGAGACTGGAATCGTTGAGGTATACGAGGGCAGCGCCGACGGCGAGCGGCTGCTGTGCTGGGGCAGGTGTTCGCTACTCTGCTGGCTGGGCTCGAAGAGGGAGGAGGTTTGGTAACGGCGGCAGCGATAGATAGGGTAATGGTTATTGAAGTTGGAAGCAACGAGCCAAAACGACGCCATTTTCCTCAAAACCAGTAGCCGGAGCAGTCCGGTCAGACCCCGGTTTCCCCCGGTTTTGACCGATTTTGACCGGCTACCGGCCAGCTCTAATTATGGTTGGTTCTGGCCCTTTTAGTGTCCGGTTCCGGCCAGACCCGGTTCGATCGGCCGGTTCGACCCCGGTTTGACAACCATGCTTTGAACCCCCCAGTTCTTCCTAATGGCTATTTGAGCCTCATACTGTCCTTTTTTTCCAATTTTGCCTATATATACAACACATTTTTTTTCACAAAAATTTCACCACTTTCAAATTTCTCTTCAAAAAAAAAAAAATAAAAAAGAAGAATCATATCCTTCACATTACCTAAAAACTTATTTTCTTCTTCTCGGAGTCTTGATCATGCCTCAATCTTCTCGCCCTCTGAATTGGAAAGAGACCGAGGATAGGGTACAATGCTATGCTTGGATCGAAGTTTCAGAGGATGGTGCTGTCGGCCATTACCAAAGCTTAGAATGAATTTTGGAGTCGAGTGGCAGTCCTATTTGCTTTTTCAGGAGGCGATGAGGGCATCAACACCAATGCTATTACAACCCCTATGCCTGGATCGAAGTTTCAAAGGATGGTGTTGTCGGCCACTACCAAAGCTCGAATAGATTTTGGAGTCGAATGGGAGTCGTATTTGCTTCTTCACGAGGTGATGAGGGCATTAACACCAATGCTATTACCACCCCTACATTGGTGCGAGAGGAGGCTGCTCAAAGTGAAGGTCCAATCACTCGAAGTTAAACCAAAGCATTCAAGGCACAATGATAAGCTTACTTGGCTAAGAGATTCGCATCATTGGAGCCTAAATTGTTCGTGGGCCAAGAGATCACCATCATCCACGTCCAAGACATAGAGCCAACTCGGTAGAAGGAAGGAATGAGCTTACTTGGTTAAGTCATTATTGGTATTAATACAAGGTGTGAATGGAACCTTTTTATTTTGGTGGGGTGGGGTGTGGGGTGGGGGGGTTCATCCTTTGTGTGAAAGGAACCTTGTGGAACTACCCAATACAACACCATGGTTCCTATTGCTTTCGCATCAAAAGGCCGTAGTTATGAATTGAAGGTGCTCTATTCAATCTAAGGGGATATAATCCAAAGCCTATATCAGTAGGAGATCAATCAAATTTACTCACTCGTAGATTAACCCGGAACGACATAGATTGATGAGTGACCCTAATTGCCAAGAAAGGGCCAAAAGGAAATTTTCTCCCTCCTAGGTCAAAAGCTCAAATGATATGAAATGGAATCAACACTCACGCAATTCATAATGAACATCCATCAGATAGATAATATGAGTAATCAAACATAAGATTTGTCACATACATCAACATCAAACCAAAATTTAGACCTAGGGTTCATCAACCCAAGAGAAGAGGTCTAGTTCATAGAGAGAAGGGAGATTACAATACAAAGCTCAAATTCTTCAATCTTCGTCTTCTAGGGGATGATCTTCAAGCTCCAATGGTGATGGGTACCTACACTCAACTCTAAGAACCCTCTTAGATACCTTTCTCTCTCTATAAATGCCTCTTTGCTGTTTTGGGTCGAAACCCTAAGAAAAGAACCCAAAATCCCAGCTCTCCTTCTCTCTCTCACAGCTGCCTTCTATTTATACAACCCGAGTGCCAAGATCACTACTGAAGATCACGACGGTGATCTCAGCACCCAGGCCGTGATCTCGGCTAAAAATGCTTTGCCTCAAGCCAAACTTCACGTCTCAATTACAAATATCACGGGCCGAGGTCGTGATCTCAACCCTGCCCGCTAACTATGAAGATGAACTTAGATTCGTGCTGGGATCACGACCTCTTTGCAATGTTGACTCGCACGAAACTACACCACAATAAAACCCCAAATAGAGCCCAATTTTTAAAACTCTAGTCGGGTGTAGTATAGGGCAAGTATTTAGATATGGACCCGGGTCGGTCCGTCTACCCCTACTTCGGTTGTTGAAATAATTATCTAGCAACAAAGTTTTTGTTTAAAGTTTTGCTAATTGAAATTACAAAAGGCAAAGGTAAATGGTTTTGAAAACTCTTTTGTGGAAGGATCACTCGGGTGTCGCTTCCCCCTAACTGCTACCATGATATGTGAATTGGAACGACTACCTTGGGCACGGTAATCGCGAATCGCAGAGGGATGAATATATGGTCGGAGATCACAATCTCAATTGCTAAACCTAGGTAAGCATGAAAGGTCGTGTCACTCGACCCTCTCGGTTTAGACAATCGGTAATTGACTTACTCCCTCACTCAAATCAAAGGTCGGACGATATAATCGCAATTAACCGATTTGCTTAAGTCAACATTGAGGGTTTCCCTAACTTAACCTAGTTAGGTGGCTTAGAAAGCGGAAAGAAAACCAACTCGATTGAGTCTCCCTTGGGAGGGGGATTTTCCTCTCTAAGCTAGGCTAAGGTGGTTAATTAGATTGCCAGCACCAACATGCACAAACCTGAGGGTGCTAAGCACAATTATGCACAATCTTTAGGTTGCGAAGCACCTAAATGCACAAACCTAAGAATTCTAAGCACAAAACATGCACAACCCCTAGGTTGCTTAGCACAAGCATGCACAATCATGATAAAT